AAAAAAAAAAAAAAAAAAAAAAAAAAAAAAAAAAAAAAGGAGAAGGAAAAGACCAATGACCAATTTAAGAGTATGGTATCCAGAACTTGGACGGTAGAAAGATTCCAAGTTTGGAGTCACTCTGAATTATACAGCAAGATGCTCTCTCAAAAAGAAAAGAAAATCTGCTATCCAGAAGAACAACCCCAGTTAATTTCTTTTTCATTTTAGAGATGTGGAAGGGGAAAACCTACTACAAAGTCAGTAATTCAGAAAAGTTAAATGACTTGCATGAAATCACACCAATGAGGCCAAAGGAAGAATTCCCCAGCAAGAGCACATCTGAAGCACAGCACAGCCTCACATCCCTCAAACACCCTCATTCAAAGATTTACCTGGGCAATTGAAAAATAACCTCCGACTAGCTTTGGTCATCTATCCTGGCTTATATGTTTAGATGGCTAGAGCTCTATGTTTACACCTTAATACAATACATCTTGCTTCTGCGGTGTGCTTCTAGTACCTACGTTTATAATAGTGTTGGAAGAGAGTTAAAAAACAACAACAAAACCAAGATTCTGCATGAAGTCATAGATAAGGAGCCTTAGATGTCATCAAATTCTAGCAAGGATGACAATTTTTTTCTTTTAAGAAAATCTTTCTTGCCGGTGGTAGTGGCACACATCTTTAATCCCAGCACTCCAGAGGCAGGGCCAGGTGGATCTCTGTGAGTTCTAGACCAGCCTGATCTACAGAGTCAGTTCCAGGACAGCCAGGGCTGTTATAGAGAAACCATGTCTCAAAACACCAAATAAATAAATAGATAAATAAATAAACAAATAAATAAATTCATAGGCTAGTAAAGGATGCCAGATGTATTCACAGATCCAGCAAAACTGGTACAACTAGTAGGAGAAACAGATGTCAATGAAAGAAAGAAATTACATCACTCTTTAGCCACAAGTGGCAGAACCTGTTTGTCTACTCATCCACTTCCTCTTTAGACGTAATCCAACAGATGAGTGACAGGATATCCACTTTTGCAGTTGGGATAATTAACTGAAATCAGGTAAAATGAATGAATGAAGAAGCACTCTAAAAGGGACAGGGACTGGGAGCAGGCAGTCTAATTGGAAGATTAAGGTCATTCGTTAAGGTGTCACTGTAACATCAAAGGCACTGTACTTCACATGTCAGCAAGAGTCCTGAATGTAGGTAAAAGGCTAGATCCTGAATACAAATGATCTTTAGGGAGAATACTTATGCATATTACCTACTTCATCCAGAATTTCCCATTACAACGAAAAACTTTAAGTCAAACAGTTGACAGGCTATAAAAGACGACAGAAATTGTTACAGGAATCACCACCGCTCTAACACAAGAAGTATGTCACACGAACTAAATAATTTTAACAAGTGTGAGTTTAAAGTGATAAAGGAGCGAGTTATTGCCAACAAGATAACAGAAAAACTGTAGAGGTACTGATAAAACAGAAATCACCAAGCTCGAGACCAGGGAAACCTAGCACGTATCCAGAAAGATCACGAAGCAAAGGTTCAAGACAATTACCAAGAGGCGATGAGCCAGGTAAGAAGAAAACTGTGGCAGTTAAGGGAGTTTTCATAACCTGTGCAGGAGGGTCCAGACGTTTCTCTCTGGTGGTGGCACTAGCGATATCGCATCTCAGGGAAATACCACAGGGTAAAAGAGTTGTAGAATTGTTTGCGTGGGACACAGAAGTAGTCGAGAAGTATCATTCAGGTCTCAAAGAAGACAGGTGAAGCAGGTGGGATTGAAAGCTGAACTTCTTGGTGGAAACAGCTCTCTCTCTCCCTTGGAGGGGACCCTGCTCTGGCGGGAAACTCCAGGAATCCCAACCGGCCTTTTTCTCTGTGGAGAAGTAGAGCTGGGCGCTGAGAGGGGCCTGCTGTGACTCCCGGGAGACGGCCTCTCCGCGGGTCAGGAGACGGAGGCCTCAAAGGGCGGCCTCAGGAAGCCCAGCTACCAGCCCCGGGTCAGACAGCCGCCACCGGACAGCAGGGGGGAGTGGAGGTGGTCCCAGGGGGCGGGGCGGAAGAAAAAGCACAGTCCCCACCGCGGTCCTCGCTTCCGCTCAGCCCCGCGGAGGCCGGCGGGCCCGGTCCGACACAGACTCCCGGCCCAGTCTCCCTCCATCCTCCCCCCCCCCCCCGTTCCCCGCCGCCACTCACCGAACCGGAACCGGCTGCTAGGCAAAGGAGTTTCCGGCCGGGCTCAGAACGCAAAGCCCGGGAACCTCCGTGAACCGGAACCGTCTTTACGGCACCGGAAGACGGCTGGGCAGCCGCCGAGGAAGAAAGGGGGTGGGGCAAGAGGTCAAAGAGCAGAGTTACGGACTCGGGGGACGCTTGCGCGAGGTGGCGAGGCTGAGAAGCCAAGGAAGCGTTTGAGTCTAGTCTTAATCGCCCCGTCAGGCCCAGACTGATCTTTTCTTCTTTCTCACACTTGGAGTGCTGTTAGTGCGCCCACCGTCCTTTGATTTTCTCTGTCCCTCCGCTCCCTTACCCGCTGTCTTCTGGTTCCGTTCGTTGTCTTGGTCCCTTTTTTTTTTTTTTTTTTTTTTTTTTTTTTTTTTTTTTGCTTAGGTTCAGGTTTCCATGGCAGCTTTTCGCTGTGGCTTTACATAGTTGTGCCTTCCTTGACAAATGAGGATTTGAGATCTAAGTCGATTTCAAACTATATCTTCTGGAAATTAGTGTGCATCTTGTTGCGCTTGATTGATCACAGGAAGTAGGGCTGGGGTAGCAACCAGAGACTGGGAAGAGAAACTCCGGGAACATCTTAGCTTAGACTCTAACAGCCTGCAGAACCTTAAGTAACTGGAGGAATTTAAATCAGTGATTTCTAATGGGGCACACCAGAGGTCTTAAACATGTAATCTATGCCAAACTTTTAAGTTTGTTCATTCAAATTATTTACCAAGCTCCCTAATTTAGTAGGTCTCTGGGTCAGACCCTACTTAGAAGCCTTGGAGAGGTGCTTCAGAATTCTAGACCCAGTTAACTGCCTGTCTGAATTCAGTCTTGAAGTAGGGAAAACCTCTGAAGCTCGCAGCCTTTTCCATACTATCAGCAACTGGGAAAGGGAAGGATCTGAACTTGCTTGTTCGGGGATCCTGACTTGTATATATAAAAGTAGATTATGATATCACCTTATATACTGATTTTTTATATGGCCAAGTCCTAAAACCCAGCAGTATTAAGTATCCCTAGACCATGTCAACCTTTGACACTTTGTTCTACATCTATTTATTTGGATCAAATTCTCTTTATTTCTAGGAAATAGCCATGAGTAAAAACAACATTCGTGTGAAATTTTTCATGTGTGTGATTAAGGCTCGACGAGTAGTCAGGAATGCTCAGAACACAGGTACCATTGATTAAGCTACAGTGGCAAGGGATGAGTTTCTCAGAGCTATACAGGATGAGAGCTTCTGGTATAATCATAGACTTAAGGGGTCAACTGACCAGTTTATTTCTATTCCTAGTTTGAAAAAGAATGTCACTGTGTTATGTCTTTTCGTTGTGCAAGTATAAGGGAGATGTTATCCTTGTCCCAGGCAAATAAGACTTGGGAGTTGAGTGAGAACAATATTTATGGAACATGGGACGGGTGTTGATTTCAATTTCAATTATGGATTATTCTAATCTGTCTGGGCTCTTTTATGGGAGTCCTTGTTGTTACTATAATAGGAACCCCCCAAATATGTAAGTCAAGGCCCAAAGAAAAGTGGTTTTCTCCTCTACTCAGTAGTAAGGTGTTCTACTTTGCCTCTCTTGTTATCAAAGGAATAGTCTTTTGGAAGTGAACTAGTTACAAAGGAATAGTCTTTTGGAAGTGAACTAGTTATTTATTGAGAACAATAATCACTTCTTTTAATATTTTTCACTGTATCTATGGAAAGGAAGTTTTTGGTAGCTAAGCCTCTTAGGCAAAATAAAAGATCCCCCCCCAGTCCCACCCTGAGGGTGACATACAGCTATTGCTTCTCAGCTGAGGAAGCTTCAACTTCCAACATGATCATACCAAAGCTACAATCAAAGACAGATTTCTTGAAGAGACTAGGCATTGTGGATGATCCAACCGTCGTGGGACTCATACCCATGACTGACACTGGTGAGGCATGAGGGGAAACAGTGGGGATGGGTGTGAAAAGAAATACTGGAAAGCAAGAAGTTTATTCGTGGCATTAAGGGGCACCTGTAGGCCAAAGTTTAAGACACAAGAGAGAAAGTGTGTATGGAGAGAGAGAGAGAGAGAGAGAGAGAGAGAGAGAGAGAGAGAGAGAGAGAGAGAGAGACTGTAGAAAAGTATTTGTATGAGCAACACTTATTTAATTTCCTCAATATTTGTATTGTTTTTTTTCTGTTGCTGTAACAAGATACTGAATGCTATAAATGTAATGTATAAAACAAAGAGATTTTATTCACAGCTTAGGAAACTGCAAGCCCAAGAGTGGGTAGCTCCTTTTATTTGGCCTCTGCCGAGGATTCTCTTGGCTGAGCCACATCATAACAAGAATATAAGCAAGAAGGAGAGATCACATGGTGAGACAGAAAGCCAAATAGTGAGGGAGGGACCAGTTCATCCATTTTGTAACAGCCTTCTTTCACAAAAACTTACAGGTCCACAGGAACCTCGTTAATTCCTTCCCAGGTCAGTACCTTCGATAACCTAGTTACCTCCCACCAGACCCCATTCATAAGGTTTTACCCATTCCTAACATTACTGCTCTGAATACCACATTTTCAACACATGAAACCCTGAGAGATACACTCAAACTATTTCCAAGCCATAGTGATGTTAAGTCATATATATGACTCCCATGTTGCTATCAGCTATTTAATCTGGGTTTCTTATTTTAGTAAACTTGATATATAAAAATGTGAAACTTCTGTCAGGCAATGTGGGAGGAAGAGGCAAGTAGATCTCCGTGAGTTTGAGGCCAGCCAGGGCTACAAAGAGAAACCCTGTCTCAAAAAAGCAAACAAAACAAAACAAAACAAACAAAAAAAGGTGAAACTTCAACTAATGAATTAAATTAAGGAGTTATTATTATGTTACAAAATGATTCCAAAGAATGTAGATTTTACCCTAGGAAAAAATGAATAACAGGTTTCTCTTGTATATTTTAATGAAAATGCAATTCACCAATACTTCATATTAAAATTTAGAAACACACCTAATATGTCTCTTCTCAACTAATATTTCTACATTGGAGCCAGTTCACTGAAAATACTTAGTTTCCACTGTGTACCAGTGACATAGTAGAAATGATAAGTTATAAAACATGCTGTGTTGTTCTCTTGCTGTGACAAAATGCTCTCACCAAATAACTTGAGGAAAGAAAGAGTATTTGTACTCACAGTGTTTGGGTCCATTTTACTGGGGAGGACACATGGGGAGAGCATCAGGGAGCCTGGGGGTTAAGAGTGAAGGCTGTGCTTTTCCCTCCATCTCTCTTCCCTCTTCTTTCCCCGGGATTCCAGCCTATCCGATGGTGCCAGCAACACACAGGGCCAGCTTTCCCTTCTTAGCTAACACTCTCTGTAAGCCCCATCACAGACATGTCCAGAGATATGTTTACTAAGTGTACCTAATCCAATCAACCTGCTGATTAAAAGAGGTTTTAAATTAGTTTGTAAAGTAAGAATACAAAACAATGCATTTCATCATGACATTTTTGCTAATCAAGACTGACTCCTCCCATATATGTGTGAATGTATGTGTAAGTTTGTAGGTAGGGAGGGAAGGAGAGAGGGAGGGAGAGAGGGAGGGAGAGACAGAGACAGAGACAGAGACTATGACTTATTGTCATCCTAATAGTTAAAATTCAGAAATGTCCTAGAAATTATTTAGCTTAACTTCCATGTAGTTCCAGAGGGAATTCAGGGCTAAAAAGTTTTCCTTGGGAAGTTAAAAATTGGGGTATGGAGAGATAAGCTAAGAGCACCGGCTGCTTCAGAGGATCCTGATTTGATTTCTCAGAGTTCACATGGTAGCACACAACAGCCTATAACTGCAGTCCCTGGGTATCTGACTCCCTGTTCTGGCCTCCATGGGCACTGCACACACATGATGCATGCATACATGAAGGCAAAACACCCATACACATGAAAGTAAAATAAAATTTAAAATAAAGGTTAACAATTGAATTAACTATTCTAGGACCTAGGCAATAGATAACAATATTTATTGATGCTTTTTAAGAAGTGCTATCTGAACTCATGTGTCAGACTCAATAAAAGATGAGAAATGAACTAGATGCTTTCCCTATTCCTTATGAGCTGACATTCCAGGAAAGGCAATAGATGAGATTGCATATAAGTTAAGAGGTTGGTGGTGCTTGGTTCAAAAGATCTGTCTAAAGATCCCATAGAGATGTAGAGATCAGTGGTGCCGGGCGAATGCTTAGGCTGTCTGGATAGGTTTAGCATGGATGCAAGACAGTTATCTCACATGACCTCAAACCCAATGCTGTCTTCTTAGTACATATAGCATAACAAAACTAATGAAAATGGCTTATATTCAAGAATATTAACTTATTCAAATAACTGGGACACCTATTTGGCAACGGTGGATCTTCCTTTAATCAGACTTGCGTGGTTTTTACAGTCGGCTGCTGGCATCAAGCAGTAACCCCAGCCAGCAGCTTAGTTCTAACATTGAATGTATTTGGGTTGTTTCCCAGTTGCCCCATCTTCCCCACTTTTCCCATACTCATTTGCTCTACACCTAATACTCACCTCAGAACCCCTTTGCCCTGATGAACTAATTTGGACTTGCTCCTCTGGTTTACTAGCCATTATCTCATGGACAAAATTATGATCTTCAGCTTCTGCATTTGAACACTGAGGCCTCAAGTAAGAGCCACTCATAATTTTTTTCAGCTTTCCTCCAAGAGCAAAGAAATTAAGTATCTTCCAGCCTCAGGGAGGCCCCCTTGCAATCTTTCTTGATTGCTTCCATCTGTCCTTCCATTTTATTATTTCTTCTACTTACCTGCCTGCTGTCATCCATCTATCTATCTATCTCTTTTTTTTTCTTCCTACTAAGAAAGTTTGTTGAACACATACTATGTCAGGCACTGGGAAGAGAAGTAAACAAAACATACATATCCTTCATAGTTATAGAATTAGAATAGTGTGAATTCAGGGAATGAAA